AAAGTAATGCAAAACATTTTTTGTCCTTTCCTGTTGTTTGACTCTGTCAGGACAGGACATAAGTCATAGTTTTGTCCTGTTCTGTATCCATCTCTGATGCATATAAATATACATCGTGTTTCCATGATATTGATGGTTTGTTAGTATATTTTTCCAGAGCTAAATGAGTCATCTTTACGAAAACAAATAAATTCTTCGATGTATATGAACAAAACGTCCACACCCGTCAGAGAATAAGATACAACAGTAATGGAGTTAGACGAAAAACTAAAGAAAGCTAATTTCAAAACTTTACTCATTTTTGTGAAGATGACTGACATAGCTATGAAGAAATATAATATAAGGAATCATCAATCTCATAAGACGATGTTGAATGATTCTTTCTAGTAATTTTGTATTGAACACAGCGATCGAATATAGAATTTATTTCTTTCGTAATTAATCGATGAAGGCTCAACTGTCGAATCATCATTGTAATCTAGCATTTATTTTCACAAAAAACTAACATACCCTGGTCGATTTTTGACTGGTAACCAAACACTTCCAAGTGCACATAAAAATCCTGTCATATTTGCCCATTCATGAAAAACATCCTTAAAAAGAACATAAAAGAATTCATTTGTTGTTACATTGAGTTTTCTATTGTAAATAACAAACTTCAATATCATGTTCACTTGAATGAACTCCAGTTCGTCTTTTACCAAATTTTCCATAACCACTTCCAACAAAACCACTTGTTTCACTTGTACTAACCGATGGTGAAGTAGCTGTTGATCCACCACTACTCAAATCATCAACTCTTTTTGGATAAATAGCTAAAAATTTTGCCAAATTTTGTTGACTAACAAATGTATCATACCAAGCTTGTTTATTTCCCGGTGTTGCATATTCAATACGTCTTAATATAGAAAGAATTTTTTTTTGTAAAGCATTTCTTCCTGTTGTAACTAATGTTGTTGATGCTGCTGATAATTCCATATAAATATTATAATTAGGTAATAATGTTAATACAGCTGTTTCATCAAAACCAAAACGAATATCAGCTTCATAAGCAAATAAAGCAAAACATGACATTGCAATTTTAACAGCTTCAGGATCAATTGACCATAAATAAATAAAAAAAACAATTTCAAGTTTTGTATGTGCATGTTTAGCCATTGGAATATTTGAACCAAGATAAGCATTTTCTTTATGATGTAAAAGAAAAGCATTACGTAAAACAAGAATTTCTCTTAACCAACGTAAAACAGATGTATATTCATATATTTGATGTAAAACTAATTTTTGTGATATTGAAAAAAGTACTTGACTTGATATTGACCAAAATGTATTTATTGATGCTTCAGGATTCCATAATTCAATATGTCGTGTTTCATGTAAAACTAATAATGATTCCATTGCTGTATGAGCAACATCTGGCATCATTGATGTATCATGTACAAGTGATACAAGACCATTTATTAATTCAAATGTTGACATTTGTGTTTCATGATCAAGTTTATTTGGATTATGTAACATTAAATATGGATCAACAATTATTAAACGTACAATCCATAAAAGTAATTCACGATTATTTGGTCCTTCATCATAAGATAAACGATCGGATGTTTTTGATTTAAATGCTTGTGAATATTGTGAACGTAATTGTTGAGGATTAAATAAAATATCTTTTAATGCACTAACACCTGTTATACCTGATATTCTTAATGGTGTTGTTGAAAATGTTGATGATTGTGAAACTTTATTTAATGTATCTGTAAACATATTTCGTAATTCTCCAGCACGTGAATAAACAATATCGATTTGTGGCCACCAAGCTAAACGTTTTTGTGTTATTATTCTATAAAGTGCTTTAACAAGTACATAATGAAACATAGCTGGTGATGATAAATTTAAACAAATTCTTAAAACTTCATTATTATGTGGATTTAATCTAAGACAAGCAAGAAAAAATTCAATCATTAATTCTAAATCAGAATTAATTTTATCTTGACCACGTGAAAATGGTCTTAATGGATTAAATAATATTAATTTTAAATCACCAATAACAGATTGTACCAACACAAATAAAACATTATTTGAATCTTTATTATTAATATATGTTGCTACTTTACATAATTTAACAAATGTAACAACAGCTGCTGATTCAGTTCCACCAGCTGAATGTTGTTTACCTAAGACTTGTGTATGTAATTGACGTTTTAATGTATCAATACAATTTCTTTTACGTAAATGTTCAGCTGAACAAGGACCACCTTTTTCTAATGCATAAACTAATTCTTCAAGAATAATTGGACATAAAACTAATAACATCATTTGAAGTGGCCAAACATATTGAACTTTACGACGATTTGCTTCACCAAATGAATCAAGTAATTCGAATAATTTTTCACAATTATCTTTTTTGAAAATTAAATTTTTATTTTACAGAATAGAATTAACAAAACAACTTACCACTTAATTCAGCATTTGGTCTTTTTTGTAAATCAGTAAATTCTTCAGGATATGTATCTAACCAATTCCAAATAGCCTAAACAATATTATTTTTTTTTTATTTTAGATTTATCTTCTTTTTTTTTTATTTTTACTTTTTCTACACTTTTAACAAGTTCTGTATGATGAATTTTTTTAAGTAATCTCCATTTTTGTACTTCTTCTGTTAAAAAGAAAAAAAAAACATAATAAAGTATCTATTGAATAAATAAAATATTTAACCATTAAGTAGTCTTGTTAATTTAAGCATATCAACATTCATATGTTGAATAAGATCAAGATCACCGGCTTCATATGTTTCATCTCCAGTTGCAATTAAACATTCAAGTCTAAGAAAAATATAAATCTCATTAAATCATTATCAATGTTGAATTTTTATGTTAGTTATTAAATCAGTAGCAAAATCTTAGCTCTATTTTTGTTTTACCTTTATTAAAAAAAAATTCTAAATATGAATATATCATTAAAACAAATTCCTAGAGATAAATCTTTATTAAAATTACCTTGAAACAACTTTACTAAAAAGTGTACTAAAATTGTTAACACTTAATGCAAATAAAACATTCGAAGCAAGTTGTCGAACATGTTGGACTGTTATACCATCACCGGGAACATTTAATAGCTTAAAGAATTATCAAGAATTTATTTATTAAATAATTATCATCATATCAAATCTTACTTTACAAACTACAGGTAATAATTTATTGACATAAATAGCTTCATGTAATCGACTCGTACTCAAATCTTTTGTCTTAATAAAAAAAAATAAGATAAATAATCAATGATAATAAAAATTAAAAAACTTAATTAAATTACATTTGCTAAGCATTGTTCAACGGCATCAAGTACAATTAAATATGATTCATAAATGTTTTTTTCTTGATCAAAACCACCATATCTCTATGTAAATAAAAATCAAAGAATTTTATATAAATAATTTAAATTAAAAAAAAAAAAACAACAAAATAAATCCTACAGTATTATCAATTGTTTTTAAAATATCTGTAAGTCCATTAATAACAAGAGAAAATTTAAAACGACTTAAGGCAATTAAACATTCTTTATTTTGTTCTAAATTAAGACGCATTTGATTTGTCAATTCACCGCATTTGATGGGTAACTAAAAATAATTAAATTTACATAATGAAATAAAATAATCTCTCTCTCTCTTTTTTTTTTAATTTACTTGATCTTCAAATCGTTCAATCAACGCTGAAACCCACTCGACAGGTTTAGACGTTGACATATTCACTCTTTACAAATAACTAAAAAAATGAGAAACAACATCAAAGAAGAACGAGAAAAAGAAAAAGACCAAAAGATCATTGTTTCTGACATAGTGTAAAAATAAATGAAGATTCGTCGAGGAAAAAAAAAAGACCTAAGAAGAGAGAAGAAAAAAAAAGGAACTTTTTTTCTCTCGACATTTGTCTTGTCGATGGCGTTGATAAACACGACATAAAAAATAAAAAGCATTCTATTATAGAGGACTCATTTTAACCAATCAGAAATCTATGAAATATGGATTGGACTTGTTTATTATTTCGACGTTTATTATTTCAAACATTGATTTAGTTTTGTTTTCCTTTTTTCTTCGAAATTTTAGATTTAATTATTTTAAAATAAAGAAAAACAAAAACTAAACGATGATGGCTAATCGATTAGTCGGTCTTCGTAGTCAACTTGGACGTTGTTTTAGTACAAGTAATAGTCTTTTTCAAGGAACAACAACACCAAAATCACCATTACCAACAGCATCGGAATCAACATCAACATTGGTTACTCCACCAATCCCTGTATTCGGTATAGATGGTCGTTATGCATCAGCATTATTTTCTGCAGCATCAAAACAAAATAAACTTGATCAAATCGATGCTGATTTTCAAAAATTAGGTCGTCTTTTAACAAAAAATAAAAATATTGCTGATTTATTTCGTAATCCAGGTGTAACACGTGAACAACGTATGGGTTTACTTAATGAATTAGATTTATCTGATATGACACGAGCTACATTAGAAACACTTTTTGATAATCGACGAGAAAAACGATTAACAAAATTTGTTTCAGTTATGAATCGTTTAATGAGCGCTAATCGAGGAGAATTATTATGTCGTGTTATAACAGCTAAACCATTAGATGATAAATTACGTAATGAACTTGATTCAGTATTAAAACAATTTAGTAAAAAAGGTGAAAAACTTAATGTTGAAACAACTGTTGATCCATCAATTATGGGTGGAATGATTGTAGAAATTGGTGATCGATATATTGATATGAGTATTGCAAGCAAAATTAAAGCTTATACTGAAATTTTAACAAGCAATGTCTAAAGACATATTTCTTTTCTTTTCTTTTTTTTTTTCGATTTTTCTTTTTCTCCTCCTAATTTACTATTATATTGTAGCTTCTTTATTCTGTCATCTTCTAGAATAAAACATTTAAAATAAAATAAGAACATTCGACTCATATTTGAAAATTATCAATATCGGTTTGTTTCTTTTTTCTAGATGTTATTACGATCAACATTTCGATTAAATTTTTCTTCTCAATTATGGAATGTCTTACGTAAATATTGCTTTTTTTTGCATCTGTACAAGACGCGAATATCTTAGTATAATTGAATTTGAGAGAAAATGACACTGAATATTTTTTAATTCAGAACATACGTTTTCATTATTTATTAGAGAGTAGTGTATCCTGCGCGAATCCCGATAACTGTATTCGGTACTCTATCAGACCTAATCAACATTCGACAGATACTCTAACAGTCATAGTGCGCTTTTCAAACTTTTATTTTATATGAAAAACTATCCTATTTAGTTTCTTCCGTAAACAGGAACAAAAAAAAAAGAAATCATCTCAAATTCTACAAAAAAACAAATGATTCAAGGTTGATTTGATGCCTTTGTGCTTTTAAAATTCGATCGATTCCACTAACGAGGAAAGGTCCCTAACTGATCCACGCCGTTTTCATCAATGATATTTTATCCATATGTCGGGGACAGTATTCTAACGAAAATTCTGAGAGAGTGCTTCCTTCGAAGGTTCTGGTTATTTTACTGATTTTTCCACTTAGCACAAGGTATATAGGGAAAATGTAACTCTTGTAATTATTAGAACACTCTAAAAATTTCAGCGGAAAAAAATGTTTTCTTTTGGTGATATTCAATTCTTAAAAAAAGTCAATCTTTGAGGACTTTATAGATTATGAGACGAGTCTTTCAGAATCAATATCTCCAAAAGGAAACATTTTTCTCTACTGAAACCTTTATAGTGTTCTAATGATCACAACCTTCGAAGGAAGTACCATCGGCCCAAACTTCCTTAGGATTTTTCTTAGAATACTGTTTCCAACATATGGACAAAATATCATTGAAAACGGCATGGATCAGTTGGTGATCTTCCCTCGCGTAAGTATATATTTGCTTGTTGTTGATGACAATGGAATGAAACGTAGTGTTGGTACAAAACTTCATAATTGTAGATGCATACACGAATGCTTTTTCTATCACTCCGCCGAAGTCGTAGTCATAATTGGGTTTCGGAGTTCTCCGTAAGTCTCTAATTTCCACTTTAATGCTTTTATATAAATTAGCAGTGCGAAAAAGTAAGAATATTTTGAAATGTGGAGATCTTATATTTGGATTCATGTTTTGAGTCGGATCAGACTGTAGGACTCTATTAGAGAGAAGTTAACTCAATAGATTTTAAAATATATTTGCGCCTTTAACAGATTCCAATAGAATTGTTTAAAAAGTAAATTTTTCTAATAATAGGTCGTACAATGTTTATTCAATCTCAAGAAACTCCAAATCCAAATAGTCTTAAATTTTTACCTGGTCGTCCGGTGCTTGATTCGGGTGTTGGTACTCGAGATTTTCCTACTATTCAATCAGCTTATATTTCTCCACTTGCTAAGTATATTACTAAAGATTGTTGTTTTTTTTTTTTGAATATTTTTATTTTTATTTGATTAGACAATTATTTCGTGTTGAAGGTGTTAAATCAGTATTTTTGGGTTCTGATTTTATAACAATAACAAAAGAACATGATGATATTCAATGGCAAGTATTAAAACCGGAGATCTATGGTGCAATTATGGATTTTTTCACATCAAATTTACCTGTCGTTGATGACAATATTGAACCACCAGCAAGTAGTAAGCTAGTGCGTTTTATTGCGTGTGTTTTTTTGTTATTGTTGTATTAATTAAAGAGAAGAAAAAAAATAAAAAGATAATTACATTGTTTTCAATTATTAATAGGTGTATCCCCTGAAGATGATGATACCACAGCTATGATTAAAGAATTACTTGATTCAAGAATACGACCAACAGTTCAAGAAGATGGAGGTGATGTAACATTTGTGGTAAATAAAATAAAAAATATTTTTAACCAAAAAAAAAACAAAAATTCTTTTTTTTTCTTCTAAATTTATTTTACAAGTCATTTACTGATGGAATTGTTAAATTAAAATTACAAGGTGCTTGTACTTCATGTCCAAGTTCAATAATTACATTAAAAAGTGGAATTCAAAATATGTTACAATTTTATATACCAGAAGTTAAAGGTGTTGAACAAGTCAGTTATTTTTTTAAGATATTATCTTGTCTGAAAATTTTATTTTTAGACAGAAGATGAAGTTGATAGAGCAGCAAAAAAAGAATTCGAAGAATTTGAAGAAAAACTCGAGCATGACGAAGGAGAAGAAGAAGCGAAGTCTTCATCAAATAAATGAACTGTTTTTTTTTATATTGTATTATATTTGCAATAAACTTGAATTTCGAGTTCGATATTAAATTGTTTTTAATAAGCAAGAAGTATTCATTGTAGATTTTTTTTTTCATTATGGATCGATCACAATCAACCCATCATTATCCTGATGTTGTTAGTCGATCAAACAATTCAAGTAAACTTTTTCTTGCTTAATTCTATCATTTAATTTTTTTTTCTTAAAAGCTTCAAAACAAGCCGCTAGTAATTATGCAGCTGGACTTAAAATGGCCAGGTAAATTAAAAAAAAAATATATATATAAGATGTCCGGAAAACTATACATCTCCATTGGGATCAAAGTAAATTAAATGGCTTTTTTTGTAGTAAGAGAGCAGACTTGGAAGTTTTTATTTACAAATATTCCTGAAAATTATAACTTTTGGGTCCAAATACATAAAAAAAAAATTCCTTTTTATTGAGTTTCGAAAAACAAAATGGAGAGTTTCCTGATGAATTGTTTTCGTTATTCTACACTTTTAGCCGTCTAGGTGTTCTTCTCTACGTTTATTAAAATTTAATTGAAACAATTCAACAGAAAACTCTGCATTTTATTTTTCAAAACTCGATAAAGAGATTTTTTATGTATTGGATCTTAACCATATAATTTTCAAGAGTATTTATAAATAAAAACTTCAAAGTCTGTTCTCTTACCAAAGCCTGAGCCCGAACCCGAACTTATTTTCGACTTTCCAGTTAGTCGACCCGAACCTAAGTAAAAGTAATCTTCCCATTGTACAATATATTTTACTTAAGATGTGTTGAACTGGTGAGGACGACAACGAGTTCTTATTCCTTGTGTTATACAGCATAATAGTTCTTAGTATAGTAGGATTGTTATTTTGTCTTGTTATCAATAGGATTCGTTGTTTATCGCAACGACCGGTTGCAAGTTAATGCATAGAGAACTATTTTTTTTGTCTTTCTTTGCTATTGCTACTCAACGAACTATCTAGGAATAAAGTTGAGAAAAAAACATCATCTGATAGGCAGTAGGGTCACTAGGACTTACGGTTCTATTCCACTTTTCGAGTAGATACAGTTTGAACTAAACCGAATCCAAAAACTCCGGTTCGTTTCGGACCCTATGTCTGACTAGAAAAAAAGCCATTTAATTTACTTTAACATCAATGAAGATATAGTTCTATGCATTGATTCTCTTTTGAGAACTGAATTCAATAACCAGTTCTTTTCATATGAATTTGATCTACTGATAGATGATAATATAACAATTCTATTCAGTACTTGTTTCTGTTGTCAAAAAAAGAACTGGTCATTATATGCAGTTCTCAAAACTGAAAATAGTCATAGAAGTATGAACTGTCACAGATCTAATCATTGTTTTCTTTTTTGTTTAGTCTTTTCTCAGAACATGTACTCCTCTATCCGCTAGATGTACTTAGACGACAAATTCAAGTAAAAAAAAAAGCTGAATTGAGAATTTTTCTATTCAATCTTCTTTTTTTTTGTAGGTAAATAATGAAGCTGTTAAATATCATTTATCTCCAGTCAGTGTTTTTCCTGTTCTCTTTAAAATCTCAGCACAAGTAAAAATAGCCTAGTTTTTTGGAAAGATAAAATTCATATATAAATGATATTTTTTTTTTTAGGGTCCATCTTCATTGTGGAAAGGAGTTCTTACTTCACTTGCTTATAATGGTTTAGTAGTTGCAACAGATAATTTCCTTCAAGATTTAATTCCTGTTAAAAAGTAAATAATAAGTTAATTATTTTTTCCTTTATATTTTTTTCTCTATGATATAGAAGTAAACATAATCGAACACAACAACTTCGTCGAGTTGCTCGTGATATAGTTGTTCGAACGTATGTTTGATTATTATTTCAAATAATTAATTTATTTTGCTTATTTTAGAACTACTTATTTAATTGTCTCTCCAATATATTATGTAATGCTTATTGAATCAGTTCAAAGTGTAAGTGCATCTGACGGTAATTTACTTGATGGTATACGTGATACACTTATTCGATTTGTACCTTATTCATCATCAATTGGCGTTGGTCGTAGTAAAATGTTACCTATATGGAAAATCCTTATTCCAGCTGTTGGTCTTATGACAGGACGGTATATATGTGAGAAAATTTTATATAAAATAATTTTACCAACATTAAATGCAATTCAAGAAGCTGATCGTTATCGAAAACGAAAACAACGACGTATTGCACAGGTTAAATTTTGTAAAATAATACAAAAAAAAAATATTTCTTTGTCTTTTTTTTTTGTTCTAGTTATCATTAGATGATGATTATGAAACAGAAGAAAATGTTCTTCTTTTTGAAACAACTTATGCATCATTAATTGCTCGTATAGCTGCAGGTTTTTTTGGTCAATTATTATTTTATCCAGTAGAAACAATTGTACATCGTCTTCATGTACAAGGTGTTCGTGCTATTATTGATAATACGGATACCGGTGTTGGTGTATTACCTATTAATTCATCAATTTATTATACAGATTTTTGGTCTTGTTTAAAATCAATTGAGGAAACAGAAGGAAGTGCTGGTTTATATAAAGGTATTGGATGTCTTCTACTTAAATTTTCATTACTTTATGGTGGAATGTTATTGGCACATGGTGTTGCTAAAAAGTTTGTTATTGATAATAAGTCTTCATCAGATCCTGGAACTACGACACCAACTTGGAATAGAGAACCAACAACTACAATGACAACTCAGAGTGGACAATGGTAGTTGATCACATATGATTTATTTTACATTTGTTTTTCGACCAATTTAGATAAATGCAAATCAATTTATTTGAAACCTCACAACTATTTCAAGACTTCTTTTTTTTTTCTTTTGAATGATATGCAAAACATATAAATCTATGTATCAATTGAAATATTATTACCTTCATTTGTATTAGAGTATAATCTAGAACTCCGAAATCTAATTCTGATTTTGACGCAACTTGAATCAGATTTGGAATGATTGAGAAGAATTTTTTCAAACATTATGTCAGAGTTATATTAATAAAACATTCAAATATTTTTTTTTCTCTTAGATAGTAACAACTTTATTCTTCATATGTTAAATAACGAACAAAAATATACTATTTTCTTACTGCACAAAAAAAAAAACATCAAACTTATGTTCACATTAACAAATAACATGAAAAGAATAAATAAATATATTATACAAGATGGTCGAAAAAGTTACCGGGCAGTTTTCGATTATGAATAACTTTTAACGAGAACAAGATAGAGAGCTGTGGTTTTCACCATTCGAAAGAGGAGAGTAATGTACTTCGTAAGGTGACTACATTGGATTTTTTCTGATCGGATATACATTCGAATCGCTAGTCGAAAACCTATAAAACTGTGCAAAGGTCAGACTTTGAGAGTTACTCTAACAGAAGTTATAGGTATTCTAGTCAAAATTCTTTTTTCTTATTGTTTAAGAAATCATTTTTCCGGCAAATTTTTTTAGATGCGTCTTCATCTCCTCTTTCGAACGGCAAAAACGACAGCTCTCTATCTTGTTCTCATCAAAAGTTATTCATAATTAAAGACTGCCCAGTAACTTTTGGATCATCCTGTATTGTTCAAAAAACTTTTTTATATTATCATAGTCACTAAAACGGTTTTTGAGATAGATCCATTATTGTTTAGAAATTCTGCAAGTAAACATTTCAGAGGACATTGTGTTGATGTTTTGTTTCAAAGTATTAATATTTTCTTGTGAAAATGACAATTGGTTAATCTTTTCAGAATCCAAACATGTTCTTTTTCTTAGAGACTAAAAAATCTTTCCGGAATTTCTTGAAATTTGGTTCCGAAGTCAAAAAGTTTGACTCTGCAATGCACTGACTTGTAGATATAAAAATGTCTTCGTAACAAGTACTCATCGGATTTTAATGTAAAAAAAAACGAATACGTTAGTCGTAGTCAATACAGAGAGTCAATAAACTAAATCAATATCCATGACGTAAGATTTAAGAAAATAAAATTCAGAAAGAAACAGAACGATGATGATCGAAAAAGTTCATTATTAATACTATATCCAGAAGCAGGAAAGCGATCGATATTTAATTTAATTCAATCCCATACAACTGAAATAATGATAATTCCAGGGGTGTGGGTATAGATGAACAGAAGATCCTTGAGTTTCTTGGATTCTATTTAGTTATGGTCGATGACTACTTATTTTTTTCATTAATGTTTCAGTTCGAAAATTCTCAAGGGTTTTGAATTTGGTCATTGCCGTATAATATGTAATAATTGAGGAATATTTCGCTTCATATTTGAGTTAAATTCAAAACTATGTTGTATTTATTAACTTTTTCATTATATTTTTGTTTTGTAATTTCTAATTGTATTATTACTGAACGAGTACACTAATCAACAGATGCAAATACAAACAGATGGAAATTATGATAATGATCAGTCATAATTTATCTTTTTAGTTATATTTCCAATGCCACAGTGGCACTTAAAAAGCTAGATAATCTATACAGTTACTATTATTGTGTTTTATTGCCATTGACATAAATTGAATGTTCAGTCGTCAATTATAATAAATAATGCCAGATGTTCCAAAATCACATCCAATCGAAGTTACTGTTAATTATTTTAGTCTATAGATAGATCGCCGTTTCATACGATCATCTTATCGATTGTCATGCACATGTGCTCATTTATTATTAGCAATGCAATTTATGATTTCATCTGATAATGCACTTTATCGAGCATTAAAATGTCGAGCTATGTCATCTGAAAGTTCAGAACATGCATTTGCAACACACTAATAGACTTAAAATCATAGATGTCATTTCAAAAAGATGAAGAGTTTTTCAAAAATGATTAAGTGTTGTTTAAAAAACATAAAATGAAATGTTTGGTGATTTACAATATATGAAACAATCCTAAACATTGAATATCGTAGGAAAAAAAGGCTATTCAAATGAACTCATATATTTTCAAGTTTATTAAAAGATTAAAATAGTTTTA